AAAACAGCTTGGTAGTTTCTTATAAAATTAAACATGTAATTACACTGGCTGGTGATGTGGCACAGTGGATTAATGCCCTGGCCTGAAGCACCGGCATCCCATATGGGTGCCAGTTCGAGTTCTGGCTGCTCCAACTTCTGATCCAGCTCTCCGCTGTGGCCTGGGAAAGCAGCAGAAGATGGCCCAACTCTTTGGGCCCCTGCACCCGCATGGGAGGCATGGAAAAAGTTCCTGGCTCCTGGCTTTGGATCGGCCCAACTCCAGCCATTGCAGCCATTTGGGGAGTGAACCAGCAGATGGAAGACTCTTTCTGTGGAACTCTTTAAAATAAAATAAGTAAATATTTTATAAAAAGAAAAAAAGATTTATTTATTTGAATCTATGGCAGAGTTACAAAGATTGAGGAAGAGAGATGAAGAGATCCTCCATCTGCTGCTTTACTGTCCAAATGGTACAACAAACCTGGGCTGGGCCAGGCTGAAGCCAAGTCACCGGAACACCATCCTGGTCTCCCATGAAGGGGAGTCCAAGCACTTAGGCAATCTCCTGCTGCTTTCCCGGGTGCACTGGCAGGGAGCTGGATTGGAAGTGGAGCAGTGGGATTTGAACTGGGTCTCACTTGGGATGCTACAGTTGTAGGTGGCAGCTTAACCTGCTGAACCATAATGCTGGCCCCCAGCTATGATATTTTATATACCACTGGCTAGGTGTATAGATACATATTAATAACTAAACTTAAGGCGGGTCATATAGAAGTGTAACAAAAATGTGCATTATGAAAACACGCATAGATTTTAAACTTTTGCTGCACCAAAACAAACTTGTGCCAACTTGGTATAATATGTTGGAACGGAGTCCAGCTGGCACCGCTGGGATAAGACATCAGGTTTCTGAGATTTAAAAGCAAGATTTATTAGAGTCAGAGGCCTCCAGCCAGAGTGGCATGGAGGGGCTCCAAGAGAAGCAAAACCCAAAGGGCTGGGGGTAGTGGGGTTCTTAAGCACAATCTTGGGGAAGAAACTGTCAATCAGTACAAGGCAGGGACAAACCCATCAAAAGACCTGATTTATATTAATTTTCTCCCCCTAGCTGGCTTGATGAGACATTAGTTTAGGAAAAAAAAAAAAAAAAACACACTGGAAGAGCATCATGAATTCTACTAAAATGGAAGCAAAAATAAGCATCAAATTTATAGTGAAACTTACTTGAAATTAGTGTTGCTTTATGAAAAGTATATGGAGACAAAGCCCTAAAGAAATCAGCAGCTTGCAGACGGCTAACTTGTTTTAAGGAGGGATTAGGACACTGCAGATGAAGCCTACAGTGGCAGATTGTTTGCATCAAGTTGAGAGGAAAAATTAATCATGCTCGTGCCCTGAATGAAGGAGACCAGCAATTACGAGCATGAACAGCCACCACTGACGTCGCCACTGGTTCCTCTCACAGTGCTGACTGAGACTTCAGAAGACCCTTTCTTCCCAGTGGGAGCCCAAACGGCCGCACCCGGACAAGAGCAGAGCCGTCAGCGGAAAAGTTAGCAGGTGGGATCAGGATCCCCTGGTTCTTCTTTTAAAATTTATTTATTTATTTGAAAGGCAGAGGCCGGCGCCATGGCTCACTAGGCTAATCCTCCGCCTTGCGGCGCCGGCACACCGGGTTCTAGTCCTGGTCAGGGTGTCGGATTCTGTCCCGGTTGCCCCTCTTCCAGGCCAGCTCTCTGCTGTGGCCCGGGAAGGCAGTGGAGGATGGTCCAAGTCCTTGGGCCCTGCACCCCATGGGAGACCAAGATAAGTACCTGGCTCCTGCCATCGGATCAGCGCAGTGTGCCGGCTGCAGTGCGCCGGCAGCAGCGGCCATTGGAGGGTGAACCAACGGCAAAGGAAGACCTTTCTCTCTGTCTCTCTCTCTCACACTATCCACTCTGTCAAAAAAAAAAAAAAAAAAGAAAAAGAAAAAGAAAAAAGGGCAGAGTTACAGATATACAGATCCTGGGGTGGGGGGGGAATGAAGGGTGAAGAGGGAGAGGGAGAGGGAGAGGGAGGTTCTTCTATCAGCTGGTTCACTCCCCAGATGGCCGCAACGGCCAGAGCTGTGCCAATCCAAAGCCAGGAGCCAGGAGCTTCTTCTGGGTCTCCCACGTGGGTGCAGGGGCCCAAGGCCTTGGGCCATCTTCTACTGTTTTCCCAGGCCATAGAAGAGAGCTGGATCAGAAATGGAGCAGCCGGGACTCGAACCGGCACCCATGTGGGGTGCTGGCACTGCAGGCAGCGGCTTTAACCTGCTAAGCCACTGCGCCACACCCATCTCAGCAGCTTCAGACTGGCCCAGCCCTGGCCAACAATTTGGGGAGGGAACCAGGGGGTAGATTTCGCTCTCTCACTGTAACTCTTCTAAATAAACAAATAAATTTTTAAAAATGAAACAAATCCAGGGTCAGTCCAGAATCCCATATGGGCGCTGGTTCGTGTCCCAGCTGTTCCTTTTCCAATCTAGCTCTCTGATATAGCCTGGGAAAGCAGTGAAGATGGCCCAAGTCCTTGGGCCCCTGCACTTGCATGGGAAACCCAGAAGCTCCTGGCTCCTGGCTTCAGATCAGTTCAGCTCCAGCCATTGCAGCCATCTGGGGCATGAGTTGCTGGAAGAGCTCTTTGTCTCTTGCTCTATAATTCTATCTCTCAAATAAATAAAATTAAAAAAAAAAATAGTGTTTATATCCTGTGCAATTTCCTGGGATTTAGGCTTTGCTGATGAGGTTAGTACTTACACCTGGGGGTTCGATGAATTATCCTGGTAAGGTTATGTCGTGGGTGGTGTCCTATCAGTCAGAATCCAGCCAGGAGACTGAGACCACGTGAGTTTTCTGAAGACAGAGTAGTGAAGCAGGAATTACAGAACTAAAAAGGCTGCAGAGGCAGGAATGCAGGAACTCCCAGAACCAGGCAGGGGCAGATGAGAGAGGGTGGAATTGCTAACGCTTTGCTGCCTGGAATACTCCTCCCGGGGATGACATCACGCCTCTCTGGGAAGGCTGTCCTGCTTGGCCGCTGCTGGCAGACCTTAGGAAGCACAGCGTGCAGGCATCTTTGAACGATACTGGTACGCACGGATGATCACTGCCTTGATCTACTAAGTCAAGGGTGATACACTTCCTTCTCCACTTAATTGCTACAGTACATTTCCATTCCTTATGGCAATGCCTCTCTAGTCAATCTAGTTATCTGAATCCCATTTTCTAGTAGATTCCTCAGGCAGGGGTCCTGGAAACGATGTCCCATGAGTTACTGATAGTGAGCCTGTGGCTTTTATACTTGAAAGTCCCAATTTGGTTGGATGTGAAACCCTGAGTAACTTCATTGCTTTGTCCTTTAATGTCCTTATGATAAAGTCTGAAAGGATTGCATTTACCTTCTCTTCCAAGTGATTCAGGGTTTTTATTTTTAGGGAGGGAACACTTGGATTCCCAACAGTTTTTTAATACTTATTTGAAAGGTAGAATTAGAGAGCGGGAGACACACAGACCATTCACTGGTTCACTCCTCCAACGGCCACAATAACTGGGGCTGGGACAGGCCAAAGAACTGGAACTCCATCCGGGTCTCCCACATGTGTGGCAGAGTCCCAAGCACCTGGGCCATCCTCCACTGCCTTCCCAGGCACACTGGCTGGCAGCTGATTTGGAAGTGGAACAGCCAGGACTCAAAAGAGTGCTCATATGGGACACTGCTGTTGCAGGCTGTGGCTTAACCTGCTGAGGCACAATATGACCTCTTTTTTTTTTTTTTTTTCAAAAAGCAACATTTAAAAAAATGTATGCTGTGATTCTGTACTGACCATTCTGAGTCAATGTTCCTAAGCAGACAATGTGTCTTTGCAATACATGGTTTCAAGTCTTTTTAATGCCAAGCAAGTTCTCTTGAATTACAGTGCATCGGCCACAGTCTAGTTAGGAAACAGAAGTGACACTAATTATTGGAGCAGAGAAAGTATAAAACACATTAGGCTAAGTACAGAGTTAACCAGATTACTCAGAGTAAAGAAACACACACCAAACAAACAAATCCCCAAAACTCAGCAAGGTGACTTGGAGGGAGCAGCTAAGATGATGAGAGAATAAAGAAAGGAGATAAGAGTTATTAAAGGGGCTAGGGTCAGGCGCTGTGTGATCCATAACCTGTATTTCTTAGTTCCCTCTGTAAAGCAAACTGTTGCTGGAACTAAATGAACATGGTGCTGAGTAGCAGGTCTCACAGCAGGCACTCGACAAAGACAGCTGTTACACTTAATGCATTTCCTTTTTTCAGGTCTAGTACAGACTAAACTATAAAACACAGCACCAAAAAACCCTTGCAAACTAAACTCTTGATTTGCTAAGGCAGAAGCCACAAATGCAAACAGGTAGAAAGTGAAGAAAATGGAAAAAAAAAAAAAAAAAGGAACAAAACCCACACGGTAGATAACGCTGATTTCAGAGGAACGCTCACAGACTTACAGCACTTCCACTGTAAAAGGATGAAAACACATTCAATAAGCACTCTGGAGCTTAAACAACTTCCTTCTTCTTTTTAAAAAGCAGGAATCGACGAAATGGAAGAAAGCAAATGACAACACTAAACACTGGCAGATGTGAGCAACTCACATACTGTTGGCAGGAACGGGAAATGGTCACGTCTCAGGTTTAGTGAGAGGACAACACATATCCTTGACGGGAGTTCACCTGCGGTTAAGGACCCTGTAGCAGACGTCCTGAGTGCTGTTCTAAGGAATGGGAGAGACTCTGAATGGTCACACCCTCACACTCTCATCTTCTTATCAACAGCACACTGATGAGGGAGACAGAGAACAGAGAAAGGTGCCAAAGAAACAAACATTCCTCCACTCCGACACATGCAAAAACCTAGGACCAGACACAGGTAACGCTAAATCCTTTCCACCTTCGTGGAACAGGTTTCCTTTATCACTTCGTCATTTAAACTTTTCTAAGTTATAAAGAAAGAAAAGAATCCTTTTTGTGGGTTATTTATTTGAAAAACAGCCACATTTTCATAAAGTAATTTAGTAAATTTGTCATTCAGCTGGAATGTATAAACCAAAAAGACAGCAATATTTAACTTTAAAGTTCACAGAAAAGGAAATACAAATGGCTCAAATAAGCGCACACCCAATCCTATTCTTAAGTGAAAATACAAACTTCTAAATTAAAATGATTTTTCAGCTAACAGATTGGCAAAGATCAAACATCTGATAACACTTTGCAAAGATTTGAGGAAATACTAGTAGGCGCGCCCATGTACTCCTGGGACTATACAATGGCACAATCCTTATAGAAAGCAACCTGCCAGAGTCTATCAAGTAGAAAAATACACAGATCTTCAGACCTAGTAACCTTAATTTCAGTTTGTATCTTACAGTAACTCACTCCTGTGCAATATGATTTTTGTACAAAGTCACTAAATAAAGTGTTATTTATAATAGCAAAAGACTAGAAACAAGTAAGTGTCAGAAGGCACTGCTCAAATAGGTCATGGTGCGCTCGGAAAACGAAGTCTGCAGTGGTGAGAGAAAGAACGAAGAAACTTTCCGGGCTGATATGGGGCAATCTCAAATACGCCACGGTACTTAGAAAGGCTACGCTGACAGCCGCGTGCACTGTGCATTGCTATTTCGGGAAGGCCTCTAGAAAGTTATTTAGGAAACAGGTCATACTTGAGGAAGGAGGCTCTGAGTACCCAGTGAGCATCACTGTGTATCACTCTACGCCTTTTGGAGTTGGAACCACGTGAATGTGTGTGTCACATGCTCTGCTGAAAAGCTGTTATGTGTTAAGCTAGCGTTTCAACAGTTACCAGAGTTCAAATCACCAAGTACTACATTTCTTTCATCTGATTGATAAACTTTTCCACAATTCCATTCAGTCTTTCGGGCTCCATCAGTTTATTTACCAATTCCTGCTCCACAGCCATCAGTGCCAGGCCACTAACCCTCTCTTGTCCCATGGTACGAAATAAATATGTTTTAAGATGAGGCAGTGTAGAATATGAGTTTTCGGCACTTGCTGATGTAATTGGCCAAGACAAAGCAATATACAACAGCTTGGAGATGCAAGGAATATTATTGTGAAGACCATGCTGGATAAACAAACAACCGAGACTGACGAAATTGATGCAATCATGATCGATGACAAAGTTGAGCTTTGCATAATGCCGATAAAATCTAAGTTCTGGGATAATGTCTGCGTCAAGTTTATAAAATTCTTGAACATGTTTGGCTGTTGCTTCATTTAGTGGTTCATTCCATTTAAATAATAGTTCTGAAATTTGCTTCATTTTGCAATAATCAAATTCTGAAAAACATAATTTTAAATTTTGTAATATAGTATCCAATCCTTGGTAATAAATATTAATTTTATATTGTTCTTCTATTGAAGTAGGAAAAAACACACTTTCTGAGTTGTCCAGATCTATTGCTTTCTGAATTTTTCTTCTTTTCTGAAGAGAAGGTTTTTCAACTTCAAAACCTTTAGAGGTTATTTTTTGACATATTTCCTCGGCTCCATCCCAGATGGTTTTGAAATACACATCATTTCTTTCCGATGATAAGCATTCCAAAATTGCTTCTATTTTTGAAGACAATGAAAAAATGTCTATGGTATCACTCTGAAGTTCTTTGGAAAGAATTCCCGTAACACTTAGCACTCGATAAAGAAATTTCAGACAAAAGATAAATTCGAATTTGGAAACAGATGCCAAGAGATCACTCAGTTCATCACCCAAACTCATGTTTGAAGAATGGCTTGACACCAGCGCTTCCAATGTTTCTATAATCTCTGGAAGCCCGTCAATCACAGATAACAGCATACGATCATGGACGGTCCAGCACGACTGTGATATGTGTTTTTTGCATGTTTTGTTCTGACTTAGCTTACAAATGTTTCGAAAACTTGCCAACATTTCCCCAGACATATAGATAGTGTTGAACAAAGAACTGAGAGTTTTCAGAGCACTTCGCAGCTCTTTCACTTCTTTACAAAACCTAATTACTGCCAAGTCCAAAAAATGTGCGTAACAATGTATATATAAGGCTCTTGGCTCTTCCTTCTTGAATTCTGCTGCAATTTTATTAAATTTTATCCTCAAATTAGTGGTACTATCATAGGCCTGGCCACATATTTTATTCAAATCAACCCCAAGACGCTGCAGGTAAGTTTTGATGGTCTGATGTAAGTGGGTCCCATTCATCTCTTCCGTATCAATAAAACCCAAGAACCTCTCCTTAATTAAGACCGTCTTTGCCGTCTTCTGTGGGTATCTCACACAAACGGCAAGCTGCTCTTTGGCGGCACTATCACTTATCTCATCACAAATGATTGAAAAAGCTGAGGAGACGTTGATCTCACTCACAATGTCCTGCAGCATTTCAGTCTTTATTATCTCGATAATATCATTCTGAATTTGTGTGCTATTATAGAAATCAATTTGTGAGTTCATAAGCCGAAATATTTCTTCTCCTTTATCTTTTGCTCTGATTTCTAACAATTCTAAAAAATTGCCTTTATTCACAGATGAAATAGACTGGTCATTTCCTCTTAAGGGCAAACACTGTTTTCCAAGAAATAAAATATTTTCAATGATAAGCTTTAGGTACTTTTTATTTCCCTCAATCTGTTTTGAATGCACAGAGAAGTTATCATTGACAGCTTCATCACAAAACTGGTATTCCCTCCAAAACTGCAGTGACTTCAAATGCATCTCACTTTTTTCATGCTTTCTGAATTTTTCCAGAATTTTTTTCCAATTAGCAATTTCTTGGGTCGCAAATGACTCTCCGCCATAGCTAAAACTCTTTTGGTAGAACAACTGGCACGAGTAACAGAACGTCACATCTTTTTTAATACTGTATTCCAAACGCTGCAAATTCGTACACCAGGGTTTTTTAAGATTTCGTGATTTCACTCTAATTTTTGGTACTTTGGGTATACACTTTGGGTGACAGAGTCCATCAGCGACTGTCATAGATTTCACACTGTATGCAGGATCCTGGTCTGACACCTTCTCTCTCCGTACTTCTATACTGGAATCAAGTGCATGCTGACTAAGCACTGATGCAGATGGTGAAACGCTTGGCTGCTCCACACTATTAGCAACATCACTATTTGATTCACTGGGTGAACTCTTAGAAATCTTTGGGAGAAAATGATAAAATAACAATTGTTTTAACAGTGTTCAAATCATCAATTAAAATATTGACTACATCTATTTTAGTTACACAGTAAAATAAGTGAGTGTTTTAGTATGAGCTCCACTAGGGGGAAACATTAATAATTATTTATAGCTTACTTATTTGCAATTCAGATCCACCATTAAATGTTTAAAAGACATTTTGATATGTAATTATAATAAAGATAATTTTTATGGCTCAGGTGACTATAACTGCTTAGCATTTTTGAAAAGAGGAACCCAGGGGAAAATATAACTAATAATGCTTCTGTTTAAACATTCTTATTTATAAGTATAAATTCTGCATGTAAGACAGTAGAAAAAAAAAAGATAAAACTTACATCCACAATGACATTTGCTGTTACAGAAGAAACTGTACCTATTAAAATAAATCAGAGCATAAATGCCAAGATCTTATACCATCATCTATGATAGTTTGATAAACTGCAATTGCTTATTTAATATCACAAAAAGCAAACTGAACAAATTTGTCAGGTATGACAAAAGGGTATTCATGTTGAATACCTTCACATCAACTTTTACCTTGTAAGACATCAGTACTCATGACGGGCAGGGTAGCATGAGTATCTGCCAGTGACACTATATTGCTTATAACTGGAATTGAATCTTTCTTTGGAGAAAGGAGCTCTGTTGAAGTGCCTTGCATCAAGGAAACAGTTGCTAAAAACAAAATAAAATAAAAATTAAAATATTTCTTATAAACTAGCCAGAATCAGTCAGTCAGAAAGCACTATTTAACAGCAAGTATTTCAAGGACAATGCAAATAAGTAGTAACTTAAGGTACTGCTGGGTACTAGAGTAATTATTAGGGCTTATGGATAGCCAGACTGATTATTAGCACATCAGTAACATTAAACCTGAAATCCACACTTCCCCATCACTTTTATTCTTCATTGTTGCATGTAATTCCTCAGCTCTTTTATACTATTTGCTCAAAATTATGAGCAAATATTTACTATGAAATCACCCATAAAGAACAGAAAAGAGAGGCCGGCACAGGGGTGTAGCGGGTTAAGCCGCCGCCTGCAGTGCCAGCATCCTATATGGGCACCGGTTCAAGTTCCAGCTGCTCCACTTCTGACCCAGCTCTCCACTATGGCTTGGGAAAGCAGTGGAAGATGGCCCAAGTCCTTGGGCCCCTGAAGCCGCATGGGAGACCCAGAAGAAGCTCCAGGCTCCTGGCTTTGGGTTGGTGTAGCTGTGGCTATTGTGGCCAATTGAGGAGTGAACCAGCAGATGGAAGACCTCTCTCTCTGCCTCTCCTTTCTCTGTGTAACTCTTTCAGTTAAATAAATAATAAATTTTTAAAAAAGATATTCTTACAAAATTATCTAATGGGTATACATTTTAATCCTTACAGAATTCATAAACCAACATTAATACCGAGGTTGCTAAACCAGCATTGCAGAGGTTTCTGTAATAAGCCGACAATATGTAACAGCATGATGTACAAACTCCAGAGGCATCACTCATTCTATTGCAACCACTCTTACCATAAATATGCCAAATACACTCAATACAGACTAAGTGCTGTCCCACAGCAAATGCAAAGTATACACTAAGACTCTAAATGAGTTCAAAACATGCAGCCCTAATTTTTTTCTTAAATCTTATCTTAAAATGAAGAGAGGGGGTAGGCAATTAGCCTGTGGTTAAGCTGCTAGTGTCCCCTATCAGAGCACCTGGCTTTGATGCCAGCTCTGGTGCCTGACTCCAGCTTGCTGCAAATGTAGAATCTGCGAGGCAGCAGTGGCGGCGCCAGTAACTGGCTTCACCCCACGGGAGACAGCACTGAGTCCCTGGCTCCCAGCCTTGACCTCAGCCCAGCCCTAGCCTCAGCTGGCATTTGGTGAGTGAAGCAGCCAATGGAAGCTCTCTCAGATAAATTACAGTTTTAAAAAGGAGGATTTATATAATCCATCATAACAATCTCTGCAAATATCAAATTTCTGGTGTTAAAGTAGCTTTCTTCTTTTTTACAGATATTTCATCTACTTGAAAGCAGAGCAACAGAGATGGAGAAAGGCGCCTATCTACTGGTTCACTCCCTAAACACCTGCAACAACCAGAAGCCTGCAACTCCACCCAGGTCTCCAATGCATGTGGCAGGGCCCAAGCCCTCCCAGGATGCACTAGTAGGAAGCAGAGAAGCCAGGACTTGAACCCGGGACAGAGGTATCACAAGCAATGGCTCAACCCACTGTGGTGCAATGGCCTCCCCTCTCACTTTCTTTAAAAAAAAAAACAAAACAAAAACAAAAACCTAGAAATAAATCAAGGTTATACGGTACTAGTTTTGTTGATAGCTAACCTCTGAAATTTTTGCTAAACAACTATTACCTGTGGAAGACTCCATTTTAGTTTTACTGTATGCAGAGAAACAATTAATAGAGCAGAAAATCTCTGTTTTCCCCAAGTCATTGGTGGTCTCAATCATTTCATCTGAAGGTTTCAATGATTTGCAAGGAAAAGATGTAAGTGTTTTGGTTGGTTTCTGTTTGGAGATTAAAATAATATTCATATTCCTGATATGGCATATATTAACAAACAAAAACACACTATCAAACTGCTTTTATTTCAAATGTTACAAATGACAATGAAGCCAATCTTTACACTTTAAAACCAGATGCGATAGACCACAATTACTAACACGAAGGAAACTAATAAATCTTTTTGAAAGTCTTTTGTCAGATATATTTAACAGCAACAATAATAACACACATGTGAGAAATACAGAAAGTGGTTAGGAAGACGCTCCTCATTTCAGACTACCAAAGCCTCCTAGACATGCAAACAGAAGGTCTAACAATTCCAGGCCTGCCCCTCGATGCCACCCTGGACATCAACTCTGAAAAGCCTTCCACTGGTGCTGAGCAGGGGCTCAAAAAGGGTGCTGAATGCGTATCACAAAATGTTGTGAGTCTTTGTTTTCCAAGAATATTGTAAGAGAGCAGCACAGAATCAGTAGGAAGTACACAGCACAGTGACTTCTGTGAGCAGTGAGTAAACAAAGGAACACGACAAAACCGTGTGGTTCACTTCCGTTCTCTCTCGTGAGGCGGGCACCACCACTGCGAAGCACCAAGTGATGGCCCCGATGGACACAACTGCCTCCAGGGACACACGACGCAGACAGACGGAGACACCTTACAGGAAGGGAGAGAACGGGGCAAAGGAACGACGAAACCAAACGGAGGATCAATCTGAAAACGTCTGTTTTATGTTTTATTAACAGAAGTTTTATATATGGGGGTGTGTGTGCATTTAGCTTAGCACCATTTATCAGGTATCTCTGCTGCTGTTCGATTTCATCCTGTTCTTAAAACATAACATCTCTCTGAACTCCCTGTGCCCAAGACAGGAGATCCTGCAAAGAGCATGTCAGCAGAGCACGACTCTGAGCAGCACAGCTTCGACGCCGCCACAGACAGCGAGAGGGTCACGGCAGATTCCAGCGCGGCTCCCAGAGGCACTGGAAAAGGAGCCTTTGGGGGCCCAACTGGTGTGGCATTTTTTTTTTTTTTTAAAGAGTTACTTGCACGGCAGTAAGAGACAGAAGGAGAGAGGAGACAAAGAGAAAGAGATATTCTGTCTGCCAGTTCACTCCCTAAACATCTGCAAAGCCAGGACTGGATGAGGCCAGAGCCAGGAACCCCATCTGTGTCTCTCAAGTGGGTGGCAGGAACCTAAGTACCTGGGCCATCATCTACTGTCCCTAGATGGATGAGCAGAAACCTGCGTAAGAAGCAGATGTGGGACTTGAGTCCACACTCTGCCTGAAATGCAGACGCTGTTGCTTTGAGTTTTAGATCAAATAACGGTGTTGGGAAGCAGGTTAAGTACTTGCTGAAGAACATTCTGGAATCAGGCTGCGGCTGCTTGGTTGACGACAGGCTTACTTAAATATTGAAGCAATGTCCTCTCGAGAGTGGACAGAGACCACAAGCCCACACATCTGCTCCCCAACAAGGTCAGGACGAGATTCTCCCGCAGCGGGAGGCCCGGTGCTTCCACAGCGTTTTCACTTGCATCCTCCTCCCACGTGGGTTTAACGCCTCTATGAAGAAACGGAAGTTACTGGGGCCTGTCCGGAGCAGCTATGAAACCTCATTCGCTCCAGAGACAACAAGTCCACGTGTGTGATACTCTGTCCCCCTCTCAGCAGGGGGTGCTGCTGGGGGTCCTCGTGGAGCAGGAGGAGGTGCAGTCGTGCTGCAGCGGATGCCCTGCTGGTGCCGGGACGGCAGGTTTCCTCTTGCGGCTGCTCAGACGCTCATCTCATCGCGTTGTTTCCCTCTTACCACCTGTCTGGGTGCCAGTTGTCTTCACTCTGATCACGGTCTCCACTGTCATCATCTCTCACAGTTTCATGTCCTCTTGCCACAGCTGTTACCACTGCCTAATGGAATGGAAGGAATGACTTCCCTTCCATTGGCAGAATTCTTAGATTTTGAAAAATTCTTGGGGCCAGTGCTGTGACGTAGTTGGGTAATGCCACTGCCTGCAGTGCCGGCATCCCATATGGGCGTTAGTTTGAGGCCTGGCTGCTCCTCTTCCGATCCAGCTCTCTGCTATAGCCTGGGAAAGCAGCAGAAGATGGCCCAAGTCCTTGGGTCCCTGCACCTGCATGGGAGACCTGCAAGAAGCTCCTGGCTCCTGGCTTCAGATCAGTCCAGCTCTGGCCACTGTGATCATTTGGGGAATGAACTAACAGATGGAAGACCTCTCTTTCTCTGCCTCTCTATAATTCTGCCTTTTGAATAAATAAAAAATATTTTTTTTAGAAAAGAAAAATTCTTAACAATTCACCAATATTTAACATTAAGCAACAATACTGGTATAATCTATAATTATAAATTAATGATTTCTATTTACATGGGAAAGTTAATACTTCATAGACTCCATTAAAGATGGTATGGCCAGGGCTGGGGCCGCTGTTGTGCTGTAGCAGGTTAAGCTGCGGCCTGCAACTCCAGCATCCCATATGGGTGCCAGTTTGAGTCCAGCTGCTCCATTTCCGATCCAGCTCCCTGCTAATGTGCCTGGGAAAGCAGCAGAGGATGGGACAAGTGCTTGGGACCTGCACCCATGTGGGAGATCTGGATAGACTTCCAAGCTCCTGGCTTCAGCCTGACCCAGACCCAGCTGTTGCAGGCATTTGGGGAGTAAACCAGCAGATGGAAAATCTCCATCTCTTTGTAACTCTTTCAAATAAATAAAAATAAATTAAAAAAAAAAAAAGGCAAAAAAGCATGTGGAGGATAAAGAAAAAAAAAGAAGGAGTGGCATTTCTTGCTTTTGGAAGAAAGCTTCTGTGCCTTCTACTCCGCTATTTCGTGTCCTCAGCTGCACGCTCTGACGGTGAGGCACTGTCTGCCCCAGAAACACAAGGTGCACACACGAGCTACCTGAACTGTGACTTGCTGGGACTCCCCACGTCAACTGTTTTTAAGGAAGAATTTATAGGAAGCATTGGACTTCAAAGCACCACAGGATCAAGCAAGGTCACTTGCAGTCCTGCCTCCCACTCGGGGCTCAGAGCACGCACAGGCAAAGCAGGGCGGGCGTCTCTGCTCTCAGGCGCACTCACCCAAGGCTCTCCCTTCAGAAACGGGGGCAATTTTTCATTGGATTATTTCCTCCTCTGACTGATTCAGAACAAAATGTGATTCATCTTTATGCTGCTTTGGTGGGAGAGTTAAACAACAGACATAAACATAAACACACTTTTCTGTCTGCACCTTACTGACCAGAACCTTACTGTTATTCTTGCGATCGCTATTCGTAGTTTACAAACAGGCTCTTACATGCTTGCCTTTTCTTCAAGCTAAGATGCTCAACTTGATTCTGCAGGAAAGTCCCCACAGAGCACTTACAATGAATTTGTATGTGAGAAGGAACTAGCAAGTCTTCCCGCTTCACCTTCATCAACTTACCAGCGGAAATCACTCCCACTAGTACTAGAAAAGCCACACCCTCGCGTTTTCTTCGAGTGGAACCATTCACGCACCAACTCAGCGGAAGTGACAGACCTTGACTCGTACCTGCTTGTACGTGGTGAGGCTCCTGGAAGCGGCGCCGAGCTGAGGCTGCCCCTCCGTGTGCAGGATGCGGTGCGGACTGGAGCTGGTGTAACAGTACGCGCCACAGTTCTCGCAGCAGTTCATGATGAAATTGTTGATGGAGTGGAACTTGGAGAAGCACACATTACTGCACACACTGAATTTCACATTCTGGTATTTTACTTCATACTGAATCTAGGATTTATAAAGAAAAAGATTTGGTAAAAATCCCAACACTGAAAAAGCACAATCACCAGACTCCCTCTAAAGGTTAAAAAAAAATTGCAACTTACAACAACAGTCTTCTGACACATGCTACACTTGGTCAAAATGTCATTTGTACAGATGGTTACAAATGGTTTTCTTTTTTCTTCATAGGATGAAAGACAAGACTGGTTACAGAAGTGTTTGCTGGAGGTACTATCTTCCAGCTGAACACTGATCATATCCTTTGGATTTAAAATGTCTCTAAAAAATAAAGAATAAAGACACCATTAAACACTTTTACCAAAATTACCATTTTATTTTCTTCAAAACTAAATGACCAACTCAAACAATCCTTTCTCCTGAGAACTGTGAAATAACAATCCCCGGGGTCCTCCAGACACTTTCAGGGGGACCACGAGCTCTAAACTACTCTCACAATTATATTAATACGTTATATGCTTTTTACCCACTGTGTTATCTGAACTGACAGTGCAAAGGCAAGGTCCTTACAATTTTACTCCTAGGTGTATTCCCGAAGAACTGAAAACAGGCAATCAAACACATATCTGTCCACAGATTCCTAACAGCACTGCTCACAGTAGCCGAAAGATGGAAGCAGCCTAAATACTGATCAGTGAGTGGGTACATGAATCATGGTGTATACCTCCAGAAGATTCAGCTATAAAAACAATGAAGTACTAATACATACTACAACATACATGAGCCCAGGAACACATGCTAAAGAAAAGTCAGACCTAAGAAGTCACATCTTTTAGGATTCTGTGTATTTGAAATATCCAGGACAGACAAAGCCATGCACAGAAGGAAGATTAGTGGTTGCCAGAGGCTGGGGCCAGAGAAGACTCTGCCTAAGGAGGAGGGCGCTTCACTTTGGAGTGATGGAGTTGTTGTGGAATGAGAAAGCTGCACATTATTGAATGTACTAGCTGCCAATGAGGTGGTTAATTTTTTGTTATATGGATTTCATCTCAAATTAGAGAAAGAAAATAAGTAATTGGGTAAAACTACCTAAGTCTTAGCACAAATCAAGGCATTGACACCAAAACACTAGCACTCATATCACTGCCACACATTCACTGTATAAAAGAAAAAAAAGTCCATTTCAACTCAGGATGTCCTTAATGAAACAGTTCTTGAAACTTGATCCTTGAACACATCTTAGTATTCTGTGTGACGAAAAGGGACACAGCAGAAAATAGCTCCCCTGCACAGAATGACAATGGTTGACTCAGGGAAAAGCTCACGGGGCATATGATACAGCCTGTATTACCCAACATGTGCAAGGAGCACATTTCTACTTGAAAGTATGGCTACAAGACAGGCTATTAGCCAGGAGTAGGTATCCAAGATAGATTTCTTCTTGGAAATGACTAAAATGAGACTCACTTCCAGGAAAGCAACTTACATATTTATTGCCAATGATAAAACCGAAGCTTTCAAGTGGAAATTTGAATTCTTCTGAAGAACTCGGATCTGCCATCTCCAGCTTGACTGCTTCCTAACACTTAGAAGATTTTTCTGATGGAATTGGCAGTGGTTTTTAAAATATTTCATACGAAATGTCAACATTTGGAGTATCTGCAGAACTCAGTGAACCAGTATTTTCCAAAGGACTTTAATATGATGCTACAAAAATCATTCATGGTTAAAAGATTCATTCAAAGTGTAAGATGGATTAATGATTTTTAATATAACAAAGTACAAAAAGTTCACTGATATGGTTTTATATTAAGAAACTGCCTTCTGGGGTTGGCATTGTGGGGCAGCAGATTAAGCCACTGCTTTCAACACTGCATCCCTATAGGGGTGCTGATTTAAGTCCCGGCTACTTCGCTTCCAATTCAGCTCGTGCTCACGTGCCTAGGAAGGCAGTGCATGATGGCCCAAGTGCTCAGGCCCCGCCACCCATGTGGAAGTTCCTGGCTCCTGGTTTCAGCCTGATTGTTACACACTTGCGGATGACCCAGAAGATGGAATATCTCTATCCCCACCCACTGTGGCTTTGCCTTTCAAATAAATAAATAAATCTTAACAAACAAATAAACAAACAACAAAAACAAAAAACCCCACCTCCTACCATTTGATTTTGGGTGCAATATCACAGAAGAACATCCCAAATTACCTGAAAAGCCATTAAAACACTATTCCCTTTCCTATTCTGCATATCTGTGAAGACAGTTTTTTTTTGTAAAGGTTTGTTCATTTGAAAGGCAGAGTTACAGAGAGGCAGAGGCAGAGGCAGAGAGACAGAGAGACAGAGAGAGAGAGAGACAGAGAGACAGAGATTCCATCCACTGGTATATATCCCAAATGGCTGCAATGGCCGGAGCTGGGCTGATCCGAAGCCAGGAGCATCCTCTGGGTCTCCCACGCGGGTGCAGGGGCCCAAGGACCTGGACCATCCTCCGCTGCTTTCCCAGGCACATTAACAGGGAGCTCCATCAGAAGAGCAGAAGCTGGGACTCTAACCAGCGCCCATACGGGATGCTGGCACTGCAGGCGGTGGCCTTACCTGCTACACCACAGTGCAGGGCCCCAATTCACATCTTTTTAAAATGTCATCTTCAGACCTTTCATGTTTCATGAAATAGAATAAAAACTACATTAATTCAAAACAGATGTTAAGTCACTGCTACAGAAGAAACAACAACTGAAAATTAGCTAAAATTCTGAGAACTATGTATTATTACTAGAGGATAATGAATGGATTTTAAGAAGTATTGAAAAAAGTACAGGTTATTCTGAAAAACAGTCTCTCCCTAAGCTTTACCACTCCCTGTAAGATAGCTTTTATCAAAATTAATTTTATTTCAAGAAGCAAATTTATTCTTATTTGCTCACTTTTTATCACTATGCCTTAGAGAACATACACGCTGAACCCTTCCTGCGTTAGCGTCTTTATCTGTATGAAACACGTCACGTTGATACTGAAGGAAATCAGCGGGTCCAGCACTGTGGTACAGCAGGTTAAGCCACATGCTGCAATGGTGGCATGCCATACGAGCACCAATGAGTCCCAGCTGCTGCTCCACTTCTGATCCACCTCCCTGCTACTGCACATGGGAAAGCAGCAGAAGGTGGACCCAGTACTGTTCCTGCCACCCACACGGGAGAGCTGGATGAAGTTCCTGGCTCCTGGCTTTGACTTGGCCCAGCACTGGCCATTGTGACTATCTGGGGAGTAAACCAGCAGATAGAAGATCTCTGTCTCTCCCTTCCCCTCTCTCTGCAACTCTGCTTTCCAAATAAATATTTTCTTTGAAAAAAGTGTAATGAGTATACTCCAAACATAGCAACAGATACCTTAACTTCCCAGGGCCTCAGTTTCCTCAAAACCCAAAAAAAGGTTTATATTGGATGATGTCTATGGTCCCTTCCAGTTTTACTCTGCAGAGAGAGAAAGCAGGCTGAAGAGAGTGCATATAGCCCACACCAAAAAGACAAAAGACACAGTGTAGTATTGAAGGGGTGAAAATACAAAAGATAAAGGTGAGCAGAGTTCCAGGAGTAAGATCTGAAGCAACTGGCAACACCTAAAGCAGCAAGCAAATCCAGAGAGGAAGTGCCCATAAAGTGTCTGAGTTACGACGTTACTGCTAACAGTGACAGCTCGTATTTATCATTACAGGCCAGTACTGTCTGACTCCCTAAATACAGCACTTAGAGCTCAGGATTCTCAAGACAAGCGTACATCAAACAGATGGGGGTCTGAAGAAAGACCTTTGCGGGGCTCCCGAGACTTCAGCACTCCGTGAGCCACACGGACACGAACGCGGCCCGCTGCAGTGTGCAGTGGTCTGCGTGCGATCTGAGCAGCTGCCAGCTAACCAGCTCAGGATCACACTGCCAGTGCCAATCGTTAGCTACGGGGTTGCGACTCTAAGACAGGACATTATTCGGAGGTAATTATATTTAGAAGCTAATGTGGTGGTGAGTTTTCCCATTCTGAAACACATAAACTCAGCATTAGCATCTGATGAATGCTGACACCCGGATTATATCACTCAAGGACTCTCCAGGCCCAAACGCCACTGACCCTTCACCCATCCTCAGAGAAGTTTAAAAGACGACACTTATGGGACCGGCGCTGTAGCCTAGCAAGTAAAGCTGCTGCCCACAGTGGCGGCAGTCCACGTGGGCACGGGTTCTAGTCCCAGCTGCTCTGCTTCCGGTCCAGCTTTCTGCTATGGCCTGGGAAAGCAGTAAAGGAGAGCCCAAGTCTTTGGGCCCCGCGTCCACGTGGGGGAACCAGAGGAGGCTCCTGGCTCCTGGCTTTGGATCAGCCCAGCTCTGGCTGTTTGGCCATTTGGGAAGTGAAACAATAGGTGGAAGATCTCTCTCTCTCTCTGCCTCTCTGTAACTCTGCCTTTGAAATAAATAAATAAATATTAAAAAAAAAAAAAAGACTAATACATGAATGTTTACCTATGGCTACTACTTTTTTCAAATGAATTAAATAACTTCATTTACCATTATAAAAAAAGTATCTTGGACTATCAAAAATCATTGTCGTATGATTGTTTTTGGTCAGTTGCTCCACATACAATTAAATGATAGAACAGAATGGACATACAAGATACTGCTTACAGAGAATTTCAATGAAAAGAGTAGAAAAATAAGTTCTGGAAGTCACATTATTTAAAGCTGAAGAGAAACAGAACTCCTCACATGTTAATTTCTGAAAAATCTCTTATTTAAAAAACCCTATTTCTGAAGAATCTATTGGAAGCAATGAAAACAGAAGCAGCTTCTTTTCACTAAACCAAGGTGACACATCATTGTTCATTCTAAAAAAATGAAGATGTAGAAAATCATAACCAAAACTCTGACCAAGATCTGGTAGGAAGTAAAAGGCATAATTTAGAATGCTGTACTTTGAGCAGTTTGAGCAAGGTCTCTTGGTGGGGGCCGGGGAGCTGGCAGAGGAGATGTATTCCGTGATGCACTGGATGGAGCAGAACAGCTGAGTGGACCCTTTCCTCTGATAAGCGGTTTGCCCCTTCTGGAGGATTTTCTTACAACCAGAACAGGAAACCTGAATAGCTGTGGTTGAAATTGAAGGAAGCATTTTATTCACGCCGGATGATGCCAGAGAAAGTTGAAGGCCTGTTGTCAACTGTGAAGCTATAAAAACAAAAACAGCAAGAAAAAAAATTAGTATTCCCATTAATTTAAGTGTACACGCTTTCAAAAATTTTCTTTTAGAGGTTACCTCTCTTGGACTTGAAACCCAACACAAACAAGGTAAAGGCATTTAAGAAAACAGAACAGACTACCGTATTGTTCAGAAGAAACAACTAATGTAAACAATTCCATTACCACTGTCGGAAAACGCGGTGCTCGTTTTCAGTTCATTCTCCTGAATTTTGGGCTGTTGGGCTTGAGAATACTCCTAAAAAAAGAGTTGAGAATAATAAATACAATAAACACAACATACTTATGACAACAAGTCATTTAATAGGAAATGATAAATCATGGTCAAGTCAGCCCGGGGTACAGGCCAGCACTCTCCTCTCGGTGCCCCAGGGCTGATGACCCTACTCATTCAATGCATTGTCTGCGGTACCAAACTGACGCCAGCATCTTTGGCTTGAATTTTTTATTCCAGAATCAGGAATTACTGCATTGCATAAAACAGAAAAGTCGTCTGATGAGCAACGTGGAACAGGTTGGTTTGATAGAAAAAGGTTGAAGAAAATACAACAAAAACTAACCCAAAAAAGCCACAAAAAATCAGTTACTTTCCTTGTAAGGTATGGACAAGTAGACAGAACAGAGTAAGAACTAACTGACTGGTTAACATCAGGTCACTAGAGGTTGCAGTTTTTGTGTAAGGATTAACTGAGGGAACTTTATTATCATGCCAACTGAAACTGACAGTTTGGGAAAAGGACTTGGGCCATCTTCCACTGCTTTCCCAGGACATAGCAGAGAGCTACGTATTCTTCTTTCAAATCACTTTCCTGTATGTGGTTGGTACTTATCACCAAATACTTTGCGTTATTTGATCAACTGCGTAAAGTTTTCCAACAAATAAATCAGTACCATCAAAACTAAACTTTATAATTAAATGTTGTTCAAGAAAAAAGAAAATTAAGGGGCCAGTGCTGTGCCCCAGTCTGCAGTGCTGGCATCTCATATGGGTGCCAGTTTGTGACCTGGCTGCTCCCTTCCGATCCAGCTCTCTGCTATGGCCTGGGAAAGCAGTGGAAGATGGCCCACGTCCTTGGGCCCCTGTGCCTGCGTGGGAGACCTGGAGGAAGCTCCTGGCTCCAAATTGGCGCAGCTCTGGTCATTGCAGCCAACTGGAAGTGAACCAGCAGACGAAAGACCTCTCATTCTCTCAGCCTCTCCTTCTCTCTGTGTAACTCTGACTTTCAAATAAGTAAATAAATCTTTAAAATAAGTATATAAATCTTTAAAAAAAGAAAAGTCAGTAAAATATTTACTTGCGCGTTGTCAGGTTCCATTTTAATTTCATCCAGGCGTCCCAGCTGTGTTGCCACTGCCTTGTCACATTCCCCATTTAATGGTGGTTCTTTCATCTTCTTGTCTGATGCAAACAAGTCTTCTAGTTCCAAATTAATGGGTTTCGTCCTGGGGAACAGCTTCCAGATTCCTAAAATAAAATATTGATAGAGTCTGATTTAAAATTAGTCTTTTCGGGGCCAAAGTTATGGTTCAGCAGGTGAAGACACTGTTTACAACACTAGCAGCCCATACGGGAGTGCCAGTTCAACTCTCGGCTGCTTCTCTTCCAATCTAGCTCCCTGCTAGTGTGCCTGAGAAGGCAGCTGAATACAGCTCAAGTACTTGGGCCCCTGCCACCCAAATGGGAGACCTGGATAGAGTTCCAGGCTCCTGGCTTTGGCCTGGAACACTCCTGGCTGCTGCGATAATTTGAGAAGTGAATTAGATAGTGGAAGATATGCTTCTTCCTCTCTCTCTTTGCCTTTCAAATAAATAAAAAATAAACTTTTAAAATAAAGATTTGGGGTCGGCGCTGTGGTTCAGCAGGTTACACTATGGCCTACAGTACCAGCATCCTATATGGGTGCTGGTTCGAGTCCAGGCTGCTCCACTTCTGATCCAGCTCCCTGCTAACGCATTCTAGGAAGCAGAGACGGCTCAAGTGCTTGGGCCCCCACCACCCACATGGGCAACCTGGATGGAGCTCTGTGCTCCTTGTTTTGCCTCATACCATATCTAGCTGCTGCGGCAATTCTGAGGAGTGACTCAGCAGACAGATCTTTCTGTCTCTTCCTCTCTCTTTCCCTTTGTTACTCTGCCTTTGAAATAAAACAAAAATCTTTTTAAAAATAAATAAGAGATCTGTATTCCTCCAAAGCACAGTTACCCAGTACTCTTCGCACCTGCTCTATACGCACAACCTCAGATCCAAGCACCACCTGCATGGAGGCTCACCGTCCTCTACCCTCCTGAGCACAGGCCCATATATTTAAAATGCCTACTAAGTATCTCCACTTGGCTGTGCTGCAAGTCCTTCTAGCGCAAGAGATTTTTTTTTTTTTTTTTTTTTAAGATTTATTTGAAAGTCAGAGTTACAAAGAGAGAGGAGGAGAAGCAGAGAGAGAGAGAGAGAGAGCAGCTGCTTCACTCCCCAACTGGCCCCAACGGCCGGGCTGCGCAGATCCAAAGCCAGGAGCCAGGAGCTTCTTCTGGGTCTCCCATGTGGGGGCAGGGGCACAAGGACTTGGGCCATCTTCTACTGCATTCCCAGGCCATAGCAGAGAGGCATACTGGAAGTGGAGCAGGGGCCAACGTTGTGGCACAGAGGGTTAAAGCCCTGGCCTGAAGCGCTGGCATCTCATATGGGCGCCGGTTCAAGACCCAGCTGCTCCTCTTCTGGTCCAGCTCTCTGCTATGGCCTGGGAAAGCAGTAGAAGATGGCCCAAGTCCTTGGGCCCCTGCACCTGTTTGGGAGACCCAGAAGAAGCTCCTGGCTCCTGGCTTTGGATTTGCATAGCTCCAGCCATTGCAGCCATCTGGAGAGTGAACCAGTGGATGGAAGACCTTTCTCTGTTTCTATCTCTCTCTGTAACTCTGTCTTTCAAATAAATAAATCTTAAAAAAAAAAAAAAAGGAAGTGGAGCAGCAAGGACTCGAACTGGCACCCATATGGGATACCTGCTATGCCACAGAGCTGGCCCGTGCAAGAGATTTAAAATGATATTCTCATATTAGCTGCCACAAATCTGCTCTACACACGTTCCCTTTCTTGGTAAATGGTGCTATCATGTACCAATTTCCCAAGCCAGAAATCTGAGAGTAGCCCTAAATTTTTCCCCTATGCAAATCTAATCACCAAATATGATCAATCTACCCTCTAAACATGTACACATCATGTCTACTTCCCCCCTGTCCCAAACCAAGGGCTTGCTTTTTGGTAAATAAATAGCTACAATATAAAATCATAATATAAAAAGTATGCATTGAGGCTTAAAAAAAATTCCATTTTATAATTTTGGGGAACTACAAGAAACTTTTGATTCTTAGCATAAGGCCACTTTTCCAAGACAAACTGGTTACCTACGCCTTTCTTTTTTCTTTTTTTTTTTTTTCTTGTTTAAAGAGAGAGGAGAGGCACAGAGAGAGAGAGAGAAAGAGAGAGAGAGGTCTTCCATCCGATGGTTCACTCCCCAATTGGCTGCAACAGCCGGAGCTGCGCTGATCCGAAGTCAGGAGCCAGGAGCTTCTTCCCGGTCTCCCATGCGGGTGCACGGGCCCAAGGACTTGGGCCAACTTCCACTGCTTTCCCAGGCCATAGCAGAGAGCTGGATCAGAAGTGGAGCAGCTGGGTCTTGAACCGGCGCCCATATGGGATGCCAGTGCTTCAGGCCAGGGTGTTAATCCGCTGTGCCACAGCACCGGCCCCATGCCTTTCTTTTTTCTTGACTCACGCCTGCTTTTCAGCTTGTTCATGGCTGTCACCTCTGATTCTGGATCCTCTTTCTCTTCCTGTCACCCTAGCTTGGCTGCAGACTGCAAGTCTCCTGGTATCCTAGATTGTCCTTTTTTGTCACCCACCCTTCCCTAAACAGATACTCTTTTAAAAAAAAGGCTTAAGAACTAATGTATAGGCTGGCGCTGCAGCTCGCTAGGCTATTCCTCCGCCTTGCGGCCCTGGCACACCGGGTTCTAGTCCCGGTCGGGGCGCCAGATTCTGTCCCGGTTGCCCCTCTTCCAGGCCAGCTCTCTGCTGTGGCCAGGGAGTGCAGTGGAGGATGGCCCAAGTCCTTGGGCCCTGCACCCCATGGGAGACCAGGAGGAGTACCTGGCTCCTGTCATTGGATCAGTGCAGTGCGCCAGCCGCGGCGGCCATTGGAGGGTGAACCAACGGCAAAAAGGAAGACCTTTCTCTCTGTCTCTCTCTCTCACACTATCCATTCTGCCTGACAAAAAAACAAAAACAAACAAACAAAAAAAACAGAACTAATGTATAGAGGGTAGGGGCCCACTAACTCAAGTATGTACAAGTTAAAGTTCTTTTTTTTTTTGTCAGGCAGAGTGGACAGTGTGTGAGAGAGAGACAGAAAGAAAGGTCTTCCTTTGCCGTTGGTTCACCCTCCAATGGCCGCTGTGGCCGGCCTGCTGCGGCCGGCGCATCCCGCTGATCCGAAGCCAGGAGCCAGGTGCTTCTCCTGGTCTCCCATGGGGTGCAGGGCCCAAGCACTTGGGCCATCCTCCACCACAATCCCAGGCCACAGCAGAGAGCTGGCCTGGAAGAGGAGCAACCGGGACAGAATCCGGCGTCCCGACCGGGACTAGAACCTGGTGTGCGGGCGTCGCAAGGCGGAGGATTAGCCTAGTGAGCCGCGGCGCTGGCCTCAAGTTAAAGTTCTGACATAAATTATATCAGGTCTACGTTTTTATTCTGAGCTAGTACATTTGAAACCCAAGTGATCCTGGCAGAATCTTTCATATTTGAGGGTGGGGCTCAAACACCTTCCCTCTCCTTATCTTTAATACAACTGTAACTGAAAGCTTCTATCCAAGGCAGAAAAGTAAATAAGGAAATAAGACCTGACCATAATAGGTAAAACAGCTCTTATGACCACTAACCCATCCCATTTGAGCATCACCTACAATCAGCAAAGCAAAATTCACTGGAAATTAACTCTCGTCATTAAGTAGATTCCTTTAATCAGAAAGTAAAGATGCTGCGCAAATTGAAACATTAAAGACAAAGCATCGGCCGGTGCTGTGGCTCACTAGGCTAACCCTCCGCCTGCAGTGCCGGCACCCCAGGTTCTAGTCACGGTCAGGGCGGTGGATTCTGTCCCGGTTGCTCCTCTTCCAGTTCAGCTCTCTGCTGTGTCCCGGGAGTGCAGTGGAGGATGGCCCAAATCCTTGGGCCCTGTACCCGCACGGGAGACCAGGAGGAAGCACCTGGCTCCTGGCTTCGGATCGGTGCAGTGCGCTAGCCACAGCTCACTGGCCATAGCGGCCACTTGGGGGGTGAACCATTGGAAAAGGAAGCCCTTTCTCTCTGTCTCTCTCTGTGTCTAACTCTGCCTGCCAAAAAAAAAAAAAAAAAAAAAAAAAGACAAAGCCTCTATGAGCTTAAGAATCTTGGGACTGCTTCAAATCTATCATAAATAGGAAAACAGAAAGCAGGCTGAAAACCTGAATCAGTTAGCCTACAGTATTTCTGGGGGTGGGGGCGGTAACATAAGCTTAGCTATTAAGGATTCTGGTTCTGACAGACTCAGGAAACACTGTGCTATCTCCTACTGACAAGATCAATACCAAGGTCACGGGGGATAAGACTGCAATCCTGGTGCTGAATATGGCTGAGGGCGTGGAGAGGATGTTCCCGGACTTCCCCACCATGGAGACCTACTTTCCCCACTTCAACCTAAGCCAGGGCTCCACCTAGATCAAGGGCCTCAGCAAGAAGGTGGCCAATGGTGCTGTGGTGTAGTGGGTAAAGCCGCTGCCTGTGGTGCCAGCATCCCATATGGGCTGCCCCACTTATGGTCCACTGCTAATGAGCCTGGGAAAGCAGCAGAAGATGGCCCAAGTACTTGGGCCTCTGCACCCACATGGGAGACACAGAAGCTCCTGGCTCCTAATCAGCCCAGCTCCAGCCATTACAGCCATCTGGGGAGTGAACCAGCAGATGGAAGACCTCTCTCTATATAACTCTGCCTTTCAAATGAATAAATACATCTCTAGAAAGAAAAGAAGGTGGCCAAGGTGCTGGTCAATGCCATGGATCTCATAGATAACCTGTCTCAGCCCTGTCTGCTTTGAGAGACCTATGGTTCAAGTCCTAGGTGCTCTGCTTCCAATCCAGTCTTGTGCGTAGCGAAGATGCCCCAGGTGCTTGGGTCCCCGTCATCCATGTGGGAGACCCGGATGGAACATCAGGTTCCTTGCTTCAGCCTGAGCCAGCTCTGGCTGTTGTGGCCATCTGGGCTAGAACCAGTAGATGGAAGATCTGTCTCTCTTCAACTCTGCTTTTCAAGTAAGTAAATCTTTTTTTTTTTAAAATGCATATTAGAATAAAGTTAAGTCCTAGAGACTTCCTTTTTCACATAGTACTGACCATCTTGCCAAAGAACGCAAAATGATAGTGTACTGGAGTATTAATAC